AAAAAAAAAAAAGAAGAAAAACAAACGGGAGGAAAGAGGAAGAAAATAAAAGAATGAGCAACTGAAGAAGAGGGGACTGGAAAGCAATCAGATACGTACCTCCTAATGCAGAATAAGCAGAGACAGCCAGTCACAGAACAGAAAGGTGATAGGTCATAGGCCATAAGGAAAACAAGAAGGCACATTTAAACCACTCGTTAAAAAATCATAGCCAAAACCAAACCAAGAGAAACTCACAAATAATATGGAAAAATAAAGACACACAAAAATAACAATTTGAAGAGAAATCCTTTTTTGTACACAGAAAACTGAGTTGAAACATCACAGTTTTCTGAAATGACCTTATGGAGACTTAGTTGTTATTTAGCAGTCACAGCATGTGGTAAATACCATATGGCCTTTCCTTTTTGTTGTTGAGTTTTTATTTCTCATATATCAGAAATAAAACTCTGAAGTTTGAAATGAGATTGCTAATTTGGATATGTAAAGTAAGAAGTAACAACCTTCAGATGTAAAGGACTTTGGTTTGTACATTTTCTAATTCAAATTACAAAATTAATCCTATTACCTTCACAGGAAAGCAGAGACACGGAAGCCGCAAACATGCTAAACAAAGAACGAACATACAGCAGCAAAATTGCCCTTAAAACTAACCTAATTTCAGCAGCCAACCTTCTCTATCTGGATTAAAAAATGTATGCGTTAGATCATTTCCATCATCCTCTGGAATTTTAAACGGCTCATTCTTAATACTTTCATATAAATTCTAGAAGAATAAAAAAAGATGAAAAAGACTTCATTAATAAATGTCTAACAGAAAATGCAACTAGGACATCTTACTGCTTCTCAGACTACTTGTATAAAAAGCATAGGAAATACTGTCCATAAAGTTCTGGACCATCCTCTCAACCTGTTTAATACTTCGATTAAGTTTGGTTTTAAACTATTTCATCTATAAACAAGTGTATCTTTTTACAGGTTTTATAAGCACTCCTAGCAAAGACTTCTTTAACATCAGCATTCAGTGTTTGAAAGGTTTCAGCTTCAGGTCTCATTTAGTACAGGTTTTGCCAAATGAATTTGGGTTTTTTAGAAAATAGTTTTGACCATCACGCTCTCAGAGAAACAAAAATTTTTACTGATGCCTCAAAGGACAGGAAGAATCTCCATGGGATACTTGGAAAGAAATGAGAAGCAGTAACGAAACAATGATTTTTACTATTTTTTCCAGCTTTCTCTGACTTATCCAGCAATACAGTATTTTTTTTTTTTAATAAGAAGCCAATTCCACAAGTATTTTGCCATCAATACAGTGTTTTCTCCAGGATCTCCTCTCCTTAACAAAAGGTTTAATATAGGGAAAACTAGCTCAGAGCAACTGTGAATATCACAAAATTCTTCTTTCAGCTACTCAAATGGTTATGCATGTCAGAAATTGTTCTTCTTACTCTCCCTCCAAAAATTTACCTGAGAACTGTTGTACATGCTTCTAAGCTTCCTATTTAAAACACAAAACGATGTATTGTCTTACCCGTAGTAGTTCTTCTGGAAGGTCTCCACCTTCATTAATTCCACGATTCATAGAAATAAACCTCTCTACTGTTGGTTTATCTCTCACATTGTGGTTGTGCAGACTGGTATTCAACATAATGATCGCAAATGAAAGCACATAGCATGTATCTGAAATAAGATTTGAGAAATTATTTATCTTTTTATGTGTTCTGGCACAAACCTGGGAGATGAATATATAGCTCATCTTGACTCACAAACAAAAAGAAACAGGTAGTCAAAGGGTCCTGAACACTATACACGAAAGCAAAGTCTCAAATCTTTCTTTAAACTATTGAAATAAGCCTAAGAAGAACAATTCTGTAACAATTCAAATTAAAAGCCAGTATGAGAAAAACAGTACAGCAGAATTCAAAAAAAATTTTGAGCTCTCTGAAATTGCTGCTATCACCCTAAATTAACTTTTCACTTGAAACGCTCAAGTGTTGGGCAAAACATTCTCTGTATACAGGTTTTGCCTAGATCATATTGATCGAGCCTCTAACAGACTTAGTCAATCAGACTCCTATGCAAAAAAAAAAAAACAAGCTTTCTTCAAAGAGAAAGAACAGCCTCTTCAAAATAATATTTGAACTGCATTTAAACAGACTGAAAATGACATGGATCCAACTTCTTGGCATACATGAGGTGGCTAGTACCACTGAACAGTATCCAAAGATCGCAAAGGAGCTCTTATCATGCCTCTTGATGTGGCTATGATTATAGTGAATTCTCCTAGAATTCAAGTACAAGATCCTGTGTAAGAAAAAGTAGGATGGAGACTGCTGTGCTACATAGAGGAAAAATGTGTTTGCACCTGTAGACTGGAAGACTCCTGGGTTACAAAGGCAATAGCGCGAAGCAAAAGCTTCCATCATGCGATCAATTTTTTGAGCCTCTCCTGGGAGTCTGAAGCTCCACAGAAACTGCCTAAAGAAGGGAAGAAAGTTGTCAGACTCATTCCAATATTTATATATAAAAAATATATATTACTAATTATCAGGAACAATAACAAAAGTCAGCAACGTCTGCATAAAATGTCCTAGAAATAGGTTCTCCATCTCTCAACGCACAAGTCAGGAGCTATTATAAAGCAACATGCACAGATGGCTAGCCCAGTAACTCAGCCAGCAACACTGCATGCTATCAGGCAAGATAAGCTGGCAGTTCATATTCTGAGAGTCTCTCTCTTTTTTTTCCAGACTAGTAAACGGTTTTCTGTATGCATCCCACTTTTGCCACGAGAATGCTATGGAGAAACAATCAATTCAATCCTCCCTGGGTTTCCTGGCTACTGAAAGCAATAAACACTCAGCTAGACTTTATTTACAATATAAAAAGACACATAAAATATTTCTGGTAGGCTGAGAGAAGCAAAGAAAACGAAAAGAGTTAACATCTTTACCTGAACTCATCAAATACATTTTAAAATAGTAACAACATCCAGAAAAAAACCCAGCGCTTAGAGAGGTGCTGCCTGTCTAGTTTAAGTTACGAATCAGACCTAGATCTTAAAAGGAAAGATCATCACAGTAATTTTGCAATATATGCAGGAGATCTGTGCTCCTGTCTAGCAGCACAAACTGGAAGACAGTTTTTACTTTCATAACTCATTATTTCTACATATAGGTACACTGGAATGCATACAGGACAGAAGTCTTCACAAATTTACGTTTGGCACACTGTGATGCTAAAAAGCTCTGACAAATTTAACCACTTACTCTATCCTTTCTGAGCAAAAGGATGATCTGAATTAAAACAGGATCTAAATCAGCAAAGTTACATGCTCTGCCATGCAAAACAAGGTCTCTGGATTCCTTGTACACTGAGTGTCAACATAATAACCATTTATTCCTGTCTTCGTTAGTTTTCATTATAGGACATTATATTAAAGTGTCACAGGCCATCTTTAGTTTGTCAGCTCTATATACTGTCTTTTACTCACCTCATGCAAGGTTCCAACCCAGATCACGAATTTTGTAAGCTACCAAAATACAAACATTAAATAGTAGCGGCTGCTAAGGAAGAATACAGTCAAACCTAACTTTAAATTGGGTAAAAGAGATAGGAATATAAAGCCTTCTAGACAAGCTTCAGCAGCCAGAGAAAAGGCTTCCTTCGCTCAAGCCTCAGGTAGCTCCAGTTATCACCCCCACATCACTCAGCCATAGCAAAGCTGTTCTGACTCCACATCACAAGGCACTGCACCAGAGACAGAGATCACATGGCCATTTCAATTTATCTGGTATCAGGAGGGAGTCACTTGTGGCAATGGAAGTGGCAAAACTGTCTAAATCAACTTAATTTGCTAGATCTATTATAGATTTCCACCAAGATGAGAAGGGACTTCACACAAGATCACTGTATGCTGGCATCCCCGAGAAATCAAGTGAACTGTTTGCTCAGCAGAAGAAAAATGTATACTAAGATATTACACTTTATTTCACATGACAAGTGAGAAACTCTGAGGAAAAGTGGGAAAAAATTACTTGATTCGAAGTTTACCTCTTCACAATGGGACACTGATTATTGTCACCAGGATTCCCCCCATCCCTGCCCACAGGAATAAGTTAAGGTGGAAGGAAAGGAGAAAATGTCAGCAAAGAAAATTATTTAGATGCTTGGTTTCCGAGTCTGCTTGGTTTTTACCTATCTCTGTGCTAAGATACAAAAGAGGTCTTCAGCTGTCTGCATATGGCAGGCACACCAAAGAGTTATGGTTGTTTTAGTCGTTTGTGTTTGTCTGAAATAACTAAAAGTTTTCACCTTCAAAGATAGCACCCATGCAAGCAATTGGAAGGGTTAAACAGAGCTGTCTGCTCGCTTGCACAGTAATGCGTATAATCGTGCTGAGCTGTACATCAGCTTTCTGACACATGAATCAACACAGTGACTCATACAAACGTGCAATTCGATAAAGGAAGCTCAGGTCAAACAAAAAGAATTTACTCACCTTAAGGCTTGTACAAGATTGAGATCAGCGAACTCATGGAGTTCAACAAAAGCCTGAAGAACTTTAATATTAAATTCATCTCTGTGAAAGACAAAAATGGAAACAGACTATTACAATTCTGAACTTTAAAGGCTCGTTAAAGGGAAAAGTAACATTTAAACATTAGCGAACACAAAACTATTTGGATGCAGACAGAATTTAGTCTACACCAGCACCGAGTTCATATGCGAGAAGTGTAAAGGTTTGTAATCCTCAGCGTGTGCTTTAAATACATCACCAAAACAGAATGTTGCATATCGGCCTCCACCCGAGAACGGAAAGGTGTGCACCCACCAGGAATTACCAGTTGGTTACTGACTGACCGCACAGTCAGACTAACCAGGAACACTCATGACTAAGTACCTTAAAACAAACCATGCATGCACTAGGATGTCCCGACACTGCTTACAGAAAATCACATCAGCTCTGTCAACCAAAAAGAAGCATTTCTCACAAAATTTAGTAATGCACAGTACAACTGTGTGACTACTTTCCAGCGCAGTGAAATAAAGTGGCATAACAGTACTATAAAAGAGAGCACTCAGTAAGGGCACTTTGCTACCTCAGCCAAATATTGTTTCTATGTATGTAAAGCTGCAGTAATTCAAAACAAGTATTAGGCTTACACTCTGTTTTAACTCTTCTAGGTTTTAATATAGACTGGATTAATAGTGGTATTCGTGCTCCAAAGGCACAAGCCAAATATCGTGAAAGGTCTCCAAAGCCACTTAAAAAAAAAAAAAAAGGAGTGAAGACTTACCCACATATAAAGAAATTTTAAATGTTTTGTAGGATGTAATCCAGCCCTCATTTATTGTATTTTTTAGGTATTATCTCATTCCATTTTAGCAAGCTGACAAAAGTCAATGGTAAGTGCTCTTACTCTGTAGAAGTCGGTAATTTAAAATATAACTCTTTATGGCAGAATGTTATACAAATATTTCATTCTCTTGACTATCCTGGTCTTGTCTTTAGCTATATTTAGCTAGAATACAGAAGTAATTCACGACAGGTGCCCCAAGAGGGAGTGGTAAAGTAAAACAGAATGTCCTTGGACTCCAAATACCTTGATAAAAGATAGTATCGTAAAAGATAACTCAACAAAAGCTCATCTATAATACGCACTGCCATTGCACAGCACAAATCACTTAGCAGCCGGCTTCTGAGGTAGTCACAAAAGCAGAACTAGCAGCTTAAGACCACCTCAACTGTCACATTTCATTTTATCCCAGGATATTTATTTTACCCCAGGACCTAAAGGCATAATGCATTCTTTTCAGAAGAACATGAATACAAAATTATTAGGATTCTACAAAATCTATGTTGCAGTATGGAGTGTGATGAACCAATTCTCCATTCCAGACCTGACCACCTTGAAATTTCCAGACACATTCCTGAAAATCAGCTTGTCATCTCTTCACCTCCACTCCCTTCACTAATTCATATAAGTGAAGAAAAAAAAAAAAGACAGAAATACCATCTGCTTTCCCATTATCACATTAATATTATACCCTTCACAGAAATTAAGAAACACGCAAAATTTAAAGTAGACCAACTAAATTTCTTTTTGAGTTCAACTGCTTCTTAAAATGGACATGCTGCTTCTACCTTGTGGCAAAAAAGGAGCAATATATTTTTTTTTCACTTGTCCTAAGATCTTATTATCCACCTGATAGACTTATAAAAAATTTCCTGATCAAATTTGCTATTCAGTATGATCACTACATTTGTCTGTATTTAAGCCTTGAAAAATTCAAGAAGATATAATGAATTGCATATTTATCTATTACCCTAAATATTCAGAAACGTCGACCTGTATTTTCAGATTAGGCCACAGTGCTGTCCAGCAGCATCCCTGTCAGGGATGCAAAAGAACAAGAAATAAATTTTATAATTTAGAATGTGAAACCATAAATAGTCACACAAATATAACTGATTACTCCAGTGGGACATATTGGTAAGACCTTCCGGCAAGAGTACAGGGCTAGAAAACTGAAAGTACGTCAGAAGATAATACCAAGGTAGAATGCAGCTCTCCAAAACCAAACAGACAATTTTAAAATTATGGACATTAATATAAGTGATTTTATAATACTGATTGCCCAAATATTCCAGAGAAACAACATAATGCCATTGGCGAAAAATTGCTCAAGCAGCTACATATACTGTACAGAAACTTTGTACCCAAGATCTACTTTCAAAATGCTCGTATTACAGTAAAAATTTTTATTAAATCTATTAAAGTCAGGAGCAAACTGCAGAGCACAAGCTAAGGTGATGATGCTGTAAACAGATCATGAGTGCCTCCAAGGGATCTGCCGGAACATATCGCACAGGAGTATTTCCTGAACGAGTCAACTTTGTAACTGGCATCCGAACCAGAACATGTGCAAACATGTAGGCACCTGTGTCCCAACCCACTCTTCACTGCTGTCTCTTTCTGGGTTGCCCTGCTAATTTGCATTTTGACTGTGTTCTGCAATAGCACGCATAAATGCACACACTGCGTGTTTCTTGTACTAGGACTGATAAAGACATGGTGCAGCCACCCTAAGAGACACCCACCTACGAATGGCAAGTCTGGGTGCAGGGAAGAAGACAACACTAAAACCCGCTTATAACTAATCTCCCAGGAACTACCCATATTAATAAGTATTTTCTTTATTATTCAATTATTAGTTATTGTAAATCACTCCTTGTCCGAGTACAGTATCAAGAGTTACCGGAATTGATGCAATACAACTCCCAGACATTACAAAAGCTTATGGTATTAAATTCTGCACCACAGACAAGTTTAAGGGTATTTTCTCAAAATAGTAAATTACAATGAATTAAGTATCATTCCACAATGTACTCATTTAAAAAGAAAAACAACGTAACAGGAAAAAACACAACCCTATCACAATACCAGAACAGTTTTACATCCCACCTTTACAGATGTCAGTAGCTGAGTAGCTCTATCACGCAGCCTGTGAAGGGGAAAGTAACTAGCAAAACCCGTAAGCACGCTCTGCAGTAGAACAAAGTTTTAATATTTTTATTTTACCTTTCACCGAGGTAATCTCCAATTACCGTTTTATTTAATCCTTCTCCTTTATAAAGGAACTGTGCAATGTCTTCTGCAGTGTTCTGCAGGAGGTCATTTTCTATCAGAAACTGTATTCCCTAGGAAGAGCAATTCCAGAGGAAAAGGAATGTTATGTTTTCTTCCATATTAATGTAAATACCACTCGTAACACTTGGTATTAATACACTGACACAGACATATACACAGCATATTAAGAATTATATTAGCCTACAGATTTATTTACTTTTGAATGAAATGGTAAACAAATGTTTTTCAGTTAGATAAGCAATATTTAGTACTGGTTTATAGATTAACATGAGAACACATTTTAAAGACTAGAAGTACGAGGTGGCAGTTTGAGTCCCTCCATTATAGAAATACCAAATATTAACTGAATAGTGATTATTCCATGTTGCCTTGGAGTTAATGTGTGAGTTGGCCTGTTCACAATACAGCATAAATATCTGCCAGGACATAATCTGTAAAATCACATAATGAAGAGGTAAGTAGGAATATCTTAATTACCACCGTGGCACAAAATAAAGCATCTGTTATAATCTACAAGCTGCAACCCAACGCTTCAAGCCACTACTTGCAGTAGAAGTCTTGGCTGAAGATACTGAAACCAATTTAAAAGAGTTTTTGCTGACGCTGGGATTATCGGTGGCTTCTGGTGGTGCTGGAACTAAACTATTCACAAAGGACTTGAACTAGACTAGTCACAAAGGACTGTTCACAAACCAGTTAAGCTTCTACCATGGAGCTTCTATCAAAGCCAGGCGGAGAGTCTTACCCTGTCCCTCAGCGAGTACTTGATCAAGGCCCTGGGCTCCTATGCCTCCAAAAATTACTGGCCCTATAAGGGGCACACTCTAGGGATGCCCAGAGAACATTCTGCAAAGCAGTAAAGAAAGGAGACTATGAGTTATGTAAAGATTATGCAAAGGATGGAAGGGATGTCAACTCCAGCACTCGGCAGGTCGTGAAGAGAAGAGACGGCGCTCTGCTTTCTCCTCCCCACACACGCCGATGAAGATGCTGCTATTCCTCCTGATTTCATAAAGCTGTTAACAGCACGCTAGTGAAAAAGTAGCAATGGCAGCTGTAAGTAACCTCAATGTCTTGGATGACAAAATATGTACAGAAGAGCTTAATAAATTATTATGACTCTTTCCTACTAGAATACTTCATAATTTCAGAAATATTAGAAGTTTTTCAACTTCTGCAAATGGAATATATTCCTTTTTTAATTTCATTACAACTGGAAAAGCTTCCATTATTTTACACACAGCATAGGAGGCCCTGCAGTAACATTCAGAAAAGTAATTATCCTCCTGTTTGATTGATTCTATTTTTTTATAATTAAATGATTACCTGCCTGACAGGAAAATTTATTTTTCTGACCTAATTTTACAAAGAAAAAACTGTGATGTTATAAGGCTTGAAGGTGATAAAATAAAAAAGTCTGGAATGCAACTCAAAACAATTTTATCATCATCTGAAAACTTAATTTCAATGACAGGCTGGTATTCTGACTCTGACAACTTAATATTTAGTACTAGATCATTTCAGAACAGACACATTTCATTGCAAGGAATATGTCCATTTTATCTGAAAGCTGAAATTGCTGAGCTTCCCTCAGAGATGATCTCTTTAAAGCTTACTTGGTAACAATTTGTACAAAAAATTCACTTGACTACGAAACATAATGTTTTTTCCTATACCAAGTAATTCCAAAACCATTCTGAGCTCTGTCAACCAACAGAGAACCTTCTAACATGAGAAACAGCAATTGCAGATTCCTTTGTTCAATACTTGGACCATATTATTCATGCTTAACGTAAACAGACTGACCAGAATAGTGTTTAAGAAGTCGTACATGTTACTGAAAAAGATAAAGGGTAGACTAGAAGCACAGAAAACAAATTTCTGTGCACAGAAGCTGATACTTTAAGATTTTTCCTTTTTCTGGCGATTTTTTTTTTTTTTTTTAATTCTGAGGATGCTAAACAACCAGAAGTCAAACAGACAGGAAAAGGAATTTGTCTGGGACAACAACTCCAGTGTCTGGAATAAATGGTAAAATAGGTCAGCCAAATCCCCATCAACTCCTACGCTATCTTCTGCTTTGATGTAAATTTTCTTTCTGTCGACTGATAGGAGACAGAAGACAGCTGTACTAGTTTGACCTCCCCACACAAAATTCACAGCTATGGAAATATTCAATATTCACTACAAATATTGCAGAGATTTCAATTTTTTTTTTTAAGTCAGTGCAATGACATTTGCTTTGAATATCATAGCTTTTACAGAAACTTATTTACAAATGTTGCAGTCATTTAAACTCTGTCATACAGAATTAATTTTCTGGGTCCTACACAGGCTGTACTGAATTGAGTGCTGTGAATTGCAGGGACAACTTTATGTCCTCTGCACAGGGAATACTGAAGTGTTTTACAAACCTGATCATTATAGCCCTTCCCATACTAGCTAACCAAACTCAAACATTACATCACATAACTGCATTTAACACAGCTCGTTTGAACGAGCGTTTTCCGGGTGGGGACAGGGCAGATTGCTCTACATATAGGTTACTCCCTAGAAAATGTAAAGGCCTTCAAATAAAAATGGTAAAAGAAAATTACCTCTCTTTGTTCCTGCTAATATAAAAACATCAGTGCTCTGTTATGTGGTTTTAAAGGTAAAAACTTGACGGATTCACTGCATGCATTATTACCCCAGTTCTTTCACATTTTTAACTCTGGTGACCACCTTCCCCCCGAGTTATGACTGAAAAACACCCCTTTTGCAATGACTCCAAGTTGATTCTCTCCACGGTAGAAAGCCATACATTGGAGTTGCCTGTAATTTAAAGTGGCAGTTGCAAACAACATTCTGCAGCTTTAGAGCGGCCAGCTACTGCCGGCCACCACTGATTCATAGACATTATTAAGAAATTACTACTGTAAGGCTGTTTACCACATTTAAATTATGTTACAGTAGCAATGTGGCCACAGCATCTATTTATAGAAATAATTACACTCAACGAGAATAGTATCAAAAAATAGTTAACATTGCGATGAAAGTATCTGACATCATCCTGTGACTTTGCCAGAAACTTCTAGGACGTGAAAGAGCCAGAGGATAACAGCAAAATATCAGGATATTTGGGGATATTTTGCCCTCAAAAGAGATGAAGTCAGACAGCCACCAAAATGGAAAATAAAAATAAAAGACAGGGTCAGTAGCTTAAAAAGAGTTTTATATCTCAAAGCAGTTGAATGTTTTCGGTAAACTGAAAACAGCCTGAAGAGTAGCAGCCACCACTGTACTTGGAACATTACGGAAAAGCCATCAAAATGTAATTGAATTCAGTACAGTTGGAAAGGAAATATGTTAGGAACTAATACCAAAAGAAAAAAAGCTAAGCAATTTCCAAGAAGACCTTAAAGAAGACTCTTCAGAAATTCAAAATGGAAACTCAAACAGCAGAAGGCAGTAAAACAAAGGAAGAAAGAAGTAAAACGAAAAGCAAAAGCTAAAGGTCAAATTTGCCAAAACAGCTCTTCTAAGTGTACCAGCAGAGATCTGTCACAGCACGTACAGGTGCCTGAATTTTCAAGTAACAACTATTTAAGAAAAGCAGAGGCACTGCAGAGAAATGAACTACTTTACTTCTCGGCTAAACGCACTGTAGGCTTCTTGAAGTCGGTAACCAGGTTTCTGCCAGCAGGTGTTTGTACAAGTCATGTAAGTTCATACAAGCCTTTTTCACAAACAGAATTTAGATTTGCAAATGTAGAAGTCCATATGAGAACAAATTAAAAAACATTTCGGAAGAAACAAAAATAGGAGGGCATTAAAGAAACGTATGGCCTCACTAATAACTAAACATCAAAATATTTTTAGAATTCTATTTGACATATTAACTTTAAACATCCATATCAGGAAAAAATAATCCTTCTGCAAGCCAGCTCAATCAATGCCTGGTATATTTGATTACTGATAAATTACCTTATCAAAAAAAAGTTTGTTTAAGTGAAAAAAGCACACACGACCAGCAAATTACTAGATGACTGCATCTATTTTAACCCTCTGCTCAGTGTGTTACAGGATATACAAATAAGATCTGTGAACTTACATTATCAGAAATGTTTCCTTAAGAAAACACAACTGCATTTGTCATAGATCATATTACAAGCAAGAACTTGATTCCTGACAAGTGGAAAAAAATAATTCTCTACCTTCTTAGGGTCCATGTTGAATTTCTTCCTTCCCATGGCTATTTGCTTGTTTCTTTGTGTAGTTTTGCTAAACATGAAGAAGAAGAAGATACAGCATGTAGCTATTAGCTGCTTTTTAAAAAACAACAACTTCTGTATGAGCTTCAAGGCATTCACTGCTTTCAAGGGGGAAAATTACGTTCCTGTTTTCAGTTCTTTCAAGTAACCACAGATTCAGACAACTACATAATTATCAATTGGAAACTATAAAATATTACATTCTATTCAACATATTCTCTGTCCAAATGAATAGCACACCTGAAGAGGATAAAGTCAGGCTTTATAGACTTTATAACAGACTGAATAAAGGTAATTCAATGTTTGTTTAGCATGTTAAAGCATTTTATTTGGTATTTCTGGAAGACCTGCTCCAAGGTTTTATGGAAGCATGTCCATATGTTAGTATTACTCACCTTTCTTCGACACTGGTCAGATTATCAATTTCTGTCATAACCTCAGCAATTTCAAATTTTAATCTCTGCCAAAAGAAGGAAGGGCTATACGTTAGTCTATATTAAAACACTTTCTGAAATCATCTATCATATATTAATACAATCAATTAGGTTTTATTTCCTTGTATTTGCTAGTCACCCGAAGAAAAGTCATGAATCTTATGGCTTCCTTAGATACTAAGGATTTTGCTACAACTGAATGACTGTTAAACACATGGATCTGAGCTCCCACTGTGCTCCTGTCAGAGCAACAAGACCAAATTGCCATCATCAATTTCAAGCATAAGCTTTCTTTACCCAAACTTCTCACTCACTCCTATCCTGTATGCAAATCTGTTTAATGAGTTCTTGATTACACAAGTCAAATGTGTACATTTGCACATACTGCATTACATAAATACACAAGTTAGGATTTTTAAAAGCACATAAATTATGCATAAGTCCAATTCATTATTAGTAAGATTTAGCTTAAGCCATTTTTTATGTTTTTAAAAACATTACCTGGAATTCACACCTAGATGTGCAGTTTACTACAACTTAATCTACTAAAGCAGTCCTCTAAGGATCATTACCAATAAAACAATTACCTCTATATCATCAATCAGTTCTTTTTTCCTGCGACGAATATTTAAAAGCTCTTCTCTTTCTTCTATGGAGAGGTCATCAGGCACTGGAATAAAGCAAAATGTACAGTCTTTTAGCATTTGCAATCACACTTTGTCACAGAGAACTTGAAAAAGCCTAACTAAGAAAAGTAAGCTTACATAGAACATCAGGCCGTGGGATCATTTTCAGATTAAAAATAAAACCAAACCAAACCAAAAACAAACAAAAACCCACAAACAACAAACCAAAGACAAACCCAAACCTAATTTACTGGAATTCTACTTCCTGGAATCATAAGTGAGGTAATCAAATGTACAACTATGGACAGAAACTATCTTTCAGAAGAAAGCTAAACATTCAAATGGAAATTGTTATCATTAGTATGTGGTAAGATTTGGCTCTATAGCTTAACTGCCAAACTAAAGTCTGATATCATTTCAATTATTTCAGTAACAAGACTAAATTTTTCATGTAAATAAGTTCTTTTTCCTTTCAGGAAAAAAAGCCAAAGAAAAGCCAAAGCTATACATCACTTGTTACCACGATGTGCATGCTGGCGCTGATTTCAGACAACATTAGAATTTTAGCCGTACTCCTTCACTGGTTGCTTTGTAGAGAGAGTAAGTACAATGCATCCTTAACCACAAATACTTCCCATCAGTAAGATACACAAATAAATACACACTCAAAATCAGTTCTTTAATACCATGTATCACAAACTTCTGGTTTTGTATAACACCATTTAAAATGAGTCTGAAGTAGTTAAGTCAATTTTAGGTATCTCCTTGGATATGTTACAAAAAGTACATTAACTTGCTGATAAAAATCACTTGTTACCGATGCTGCAAACGTGTTTCTCTGCACGGCTTTGGGTGTCGCTCACTCTAGCAGCAGCCCCCTACCCTGTAGTCTCTGCCTGACAACCAGGAAACGTGAAAAGTTATTTACACAAAATCTCTGCTATTCTTGAGCAATTAGATTTTCTCTAACAAGAAAGTTCTTGGGACAGAGATTACTCGCATTCACTTGCGGAGCACTAGACATCAACCACAAACATTCACCTCCTTTGCAACGATCTTAAAATAATAGTTTTAATGCTACCCACTTTCTTGGAAATAGCTTCTTGATTATACAATAGCTTTTCCTTATAGCTCAGTAAATCAGAACAACAAAAATAATTATTAAGATATTTAAATGGCTCTGTCCCAGCAGCAACACATAAGCAATGCAGTGATTTGGGATGGCCAAAGCTGTTTTTTTATATCATATACACATGTAACAGACAGTAGCAACAGGATCACAAGCAAATAAAAATGAAATATATTGATTACTTCAACATCCAGTGGTTAAGCTCCTTTCTTTTTAGGATTCAAATCACCACATAAAATCCACATGGCAACAGACCTTGTTAAACATGAAGTAATTACGGCAAATGATCTTATTTAACTACTCCAGATACAAACATGATTAAATTACATCCAGTTTAGGAAATGAGAGTCTTCTCTTGAACGAGTACCAGATTTCAATATGCATACCTGCTTCTATCCCTTCATCTCTACCAGAAACCCACTCACTCCTAAAAATTCCTTGCATGCAAATACCGGTAAGATTCTTTTCATATTAAACCTTATAAATACACGTGCCTTCATCACATTGTTGTCTTACATTTACACTCTAAGATCTTAAACCATCAAAACTCAAGGGATTTTATGACTACACAAATGCTATGTACAAATATATGCCAGAAATATGCCAATGGATTAATTGAGGACTGATAATTAAAAAAAAAATAAAAAACTCAAGACTGTTACCCAATGTTGATTATTAAAGAGGCAAACTCAGTATAATCAATCACTCTCTCAGCTAGGAAGCATGCTAAGTATCCTTCAAGGATTTTTGCAGTATTACAGTGGTAGATGGAATTAGATTAATATTTTGCAGTACCCGTATTAGTAAGAGTTCTTACATTTTAAACTTTTTGCCACAGCAGACGCTTTGGTAATTCTCACCTTCATTGGCAACTGGAAGTATTAATCAGAACCCAAACAGAAAATAACCTTTAAGCGTTAAATATTTAGAATTCATACATGATGCTTGGTTTTTCTTCAAGCTGAGTTACAAAATTTCTGGATTAGCTGCTGTCACAAACTCTTTCCAAAGCAGCACATCAGTGAGTGGTACTGCCCTTTCTTCCCCCTTACATTACTGCACAGTGAAAGCTCCTTGGGATAGGTTGAAATAGCTAGAACAAATGAAATTGCTATTTGGAATCAACATGAATTGTTATAGTTTTCTATGCTCAAGCAACCCACTAAATAAAAAAAAAATAATAATCAAACATCTCAATCCTTTGCTACAGCACCCAAAGACTGACTGCTGTGTTTTTTCCTTTCCTCTGATCACAGCCGCCACAGAGACAACCCTCAGAGTATAATTAATGATGCTGTTAGACAGAAAGAAAATAAACTAAATGGAGTCACACTGCCTTGTGCATTAGGAAATAACATCAAGTACCTAACTGCCGGATGCAAGACAAGAAAAGTCTGCTGGAAAAGACAATTCTGCACTGGGAGAGCACTTAGACCACCACACTTTGAAAAAACTGCATATTAATGCAACATCATTAAATACAATATTCATATCAGAGCCAAAAGATTCCAGTATCTTCTAATAAGAATAACCAGAATACAATTGAGCAGATAGAGCAGTACTGCTCAGCTTCCAGAAACTATTGGTATGGTCAGTGTTTTTCTTCCACTCACACTACCAGCACAGAGAAGGGATGACTGACTTGTCAGGATGACTCCTAAGTGTGCTGTCCTATCGCCACCATAAATTGGCATGGGTAGAAGACACTGAAGAGCTCAGCCTTATTCTCCTCCTCCTGCTGCTTGTATGTCACCACTGACTCCCTCCTCCAACACTGCTGCTCATGCTGGTGAGAGAACTTATCAATAGGAAAATGACCTCACCAAAACCAAACGTTCTTAAGACACTACATGTGGCGTTACAGCCTGCACCTTCAGAGGCTGAAGGCATCTGTTCCAGGAGGCTGCATGACTTTATGTCTGCTGGTCCTGTTGTTTTGATTTTCTTAAAACAAAATTTAACAGTATCTCTGTATTTCAATGAAGGCTTTTGAAACATTAACATTGGAGGATGTACCCACCTTACCTGAAAGGAAAGAAATTTGCAAGATATTCAACTTCAGCTAAAAACATAACAAAAACCCCAACGCTAAAAACAAACAAAAATCCCAACTTCAATGCTAACTCAACAATGGGGGGGTGGAATTCAATATATTCCAACTTGGCCTATCTCTGTTTGATTACTGTAATTGATCTAAATGTACTGAAATGAATTTCCTGTAAACAAATTCTTCCTGGAATACACATTTTAAATACAGGTTTCTTTATTCTAAATGTTAGAAAAAACAAACAAACAAAAAACAAACTCTAGCTTGCCACAGAAATCTGTGTATTGTCCTGCAGTTGGGATGTTACTTCATTAAATAATGTTCCACTACTGACAACCCAAGGACAAGAGCAATAGTCCAGAACTCTGACATTTATGAAGACACAAGAAGCAGTTTTTGAGCAAGCAGGCACCCCCCCCCCCAAAAAAAAGTTTTCCAGATTGAAAAAGAACTGCACCAGATGAACTTGAAAGAAAGTCCCACAGCTCAGTGGGACCAGGAGACTAGTGGGAGTAGAAGAAAATCCCATAATAGGAAACGGAAATCTAGTACTTTCCAAGTCCATATCCCTGATACCTTCACCTTTTTCAGTAGCAAAAATTAAATCCTTTCCAGCTCTCCAATGGTACTATATGAACCAAAAATCCTGTGTTTAATTTTTTTTTTTATTTAGCCTTTCAATTGGCGATCACCAGCCAAGGTTTAAAGCAATCTCACCACACCACTCCAACTGACCTCAGAGTTCAGTCTCTCAAGAGGACACAGTTAAAATAATCCACAGCCAGCAGAAAGTGAACATCTAACAATACATAATTATAGATAAACACACATTTTGTAACCACACTTATGAAGCAATACAACTCCCTGATTCTCATTGCTCAACTAACTTCTTGGTTTCATAAAAATAAATATTTTCCTTCTTCCGTGTCAGCCCCAAACTGGTGGTCTTAAGTACTTCCATTCCAAACAAAGTTCAGTTAGATGGAATTCAATTTTGCTGCAGTTGAAACATCTTGCATGTGTAAAGATATTTACACAATGCAAGGCTTAAAACTAAACAAACCTATCCTTGCCCATACACAGAACGGGTATACATGTTTCTTCTAGTCTTTGAAATAATACACATTCATCTCTGAGAACAAATCTGATTGTCTCAGGACATTTGCCTCAACGGATATTCTCAGGCTAGTCTCTCTTCCCTTCCCCCTACAAGCTCTCTTTTTAAAAAACTTAATTATAGGAACATTTTCCAGCTTTCAGACAAGATGTATAAACAAAGCTGTGACCACTTGTGGCTATTAAAAATTCCATAGAAGTTTTTGTAGGAGGACATCCTCCTGAACAGATTTATCTCACAGTGCAAAATCAAACTATATCTGCATTAAATTCAATCAGTAAAACTAGCTGGATTTGACTGCTTCTTTCTTTTAACTGCCTTATTGTATTAATCTTTGTAATTCAGTGACTGCTGAGCATGTTCTAGCATAGGAGTGATCAGACTTCCATTAAGAGGGGAAATAATCCTGTACACAATATCCTTTCACATATAAAATTTACGAGTCAGTGGGATGAGGAATTTAGGACCGAGTCCATGGTTTGCAGAGTTATTTTGAGTTTTCAGTCACGAGGGACACTGTGGCCAGAAAGCACATTTGTGGCCAAACCCAGAAGTGAACCTCAGACTCTCGTCCATCGTTCTCATTGTTTAGCCACTTGACAACTCACCACTACAAGATGCTCCTGAAAACATTTTTCACTCTAGGATAAGCAGCTATTTTACAGGTAATTTACAGTTAACGTATTGTCCTTTTGGGCTTCTAATAATATGTGGTAGGAAAAAAAGCCTAACAATATTAATCCTCTCACCACATGAAGATACGTTTTCAGGAATTTAGAGGAAAC